GAGTGAATGTCTCATGCATCGGCTAAAATGGGACATTTTTCTGAAGTGGAATCAGCAGGTTTCTGGGCTACAAGAGCCATGAAATAACAGGTTACTATACAATTGTGCAGCAGCCTATGATACAACAGATACCTGTACTACTTTTGTCACTTAAAATTATTAAAGATGATCCTGCAAAATATCTTAGAGAAAAAGCCCCTTTTCCATCTCACCTGCTCAACTCGACTCTACTTGCTTATGGTACCAGATGCTTTGTTCCCCTCTGCAGATGGACCCCCTCTGCACAGCTGGTTGTCACAGTGACACCAAAACTACCATGAGGTAACTGGCCGATGGTGCCGGCAGACTCAAAGCTGTGACAGTTTTCATCCTAGGACTGTTATTATGCCATTTTATTAGGTTTTGATATGCCAATTACAAATCTGCTCCGACGTTTTCGGAGAGGTGTTGGTCCACTAATGCGCCAGCTAGCTACTTAGATGCTGATATTATCTCATTCAGTAACCTATTAGCTATGTGATAAGATGTACAATGTGGTGGTTCGCGTAATATAATGGTTATATTACATAGGAAGAGAGGCACGAAGCTTCTGTCACTATAAATTTTACCATTTATAACACTCAATACAGAGAAGTGACAGCTGCTATTAATGAAGAACGAGCAACTGATGCCATCACATATAAACATCCGGGTTCATCTGTCGCAAGAACGCCATGTAGTAATGAATTTCTCTGACTTAGCGCTAGTCTGCAGTATTTACACATCACCATTTGGTATCACCTCTGCTCGCTTGGAACCTTAGCAGAGGTGATACCAATAATAGTACCCGGTACTATCCTCAACATTTGATGGAAAACCAAATAAGGTGAGTAGAGTCTAGTCGAGCTGGTACCAGGTGGTGGGAGAGGGGCTAAAGTGACCCCAAAGCCAGGGGTCTGGGTCTCAGTGGTGAAGACAATGGGATCTTAGATAATGCTGTTTGCAGAGAGTATGATTAGTAGGGTACAGATTTTGAATAATATTGTTGAAATTTGTTCATTATTTTAAAAAAAATAATGATTTAATGAACAAACTGATCAATGCATTTAATATATTTAAAACACAACTGGTCCTTCAATTAAACTGAATCTTTAACCCATTACTGACTGTCCCATTTTAGCTGAACATGTCATTGGAGTGAGGTAGGGCTACTTGGTGTGTTTGAAGGTCCAAAGCTTCTCAAGTATTTCACTTGGCAATAGTTTCTTTATAGAAATATAGCAGAGATCCGTAGCAAATTGTAAAAGTAATATTAAAAGGTACTTTTCAGGTGGTTTTCTTGGTAATCTACTAAAAGGTGTCCCAAATTATATGACTTCACCCTATTTAAAATAGTAATTGTCATGTGACTTGCAGGTGAACACTGAGAGCCACTACAATCTTTAGAAATACACCTGTTGGTGCAATGAGTGGCTCTGGTGAAACTACAGTGCAAAACGTCTTGATCAGACATTTGTACTACAGATTTACAACTACAGTTGTTTTCGGTTTCTGGTTAATGTGTCCATTTTCCTTTAGTGGGAGGAGTGTCCAACCACATTATACTAAGATAACTAATTATGAAAACTAAACTGGAGGTTTAGCTCAGGTTAGTTGAGGTATACTAAAACAATTTAAATCATCTGCGTAAAAGATTGTGTCACTTACCAGTATGGGCGTTCTTGGCAAGGGTTAGGAGAAACCCACGATGACACCTAAGGATAAAGCACACATAAGATTAAGAAACGTACGAGCGTTTTATGGAAAATGTGCTCCAAATTTAGAAAGGCAACGCTTACCTGAACAGGATAAATCCCATTTCCCTTCCTCGCTCGACCCGGAAGTCATTCAGGTGTGTCTGAATCGGATTCCCTGTCCATATGTTTCCCTTGGTTAAAACTATAGTTCCCGTTGCACCCCGTAAATTTTTTTACAAAAGTTTTTAAACAAACATAATAAAATGGGTTAGGCGAACTTTTGAAGAGCTGGTTGGAGGTTTTCCTAGCTACACCCGTTTCAAGTCTTTATGCTAAGCTAACTAGCCGCTGGCTCCAGCTAGTTACATATTTACTTCACAGATTTGAGTGGTATCATCTAAATTTCGGTCAAATAGGAAGTAGTGTACGACATTACTCCGGTTAGCTGTTGAGCATGGTCTCTTTTGGGCTAAAACAAAAGAGAAGGTATGCGAACCTGTCTTTATCTTCATTTTAGATTACTTTGATATGATCACAAGAAGTTGCAATGCGGTGTTTTGTTTTATTTCATTTGTTTTTTACATAACCGAACCGATAAGGCTCTAGGAAGGTTTGCTGATAGCAAACACCCACTAAAGATACTACTCGCCACAACTTGTTTGAGGCACCGCGTGCCCGCGGTGAGTGAAAATAGAGAAGAGGAGAGAATCCGGTTTCTGTTCAAAATGTTTATCATCTCAGTTTTTGTCCTTCTGGGGACAGGACTAACGGTCGTCTCCGGACCAGATGTTGTCAAAGTGGTCGTTAAAGAAGGGGAGGACGCCATCTTGCCCTGTTGCCTCTACGACAAGGAGGACATTGAGTTTAAGCTGTTTGACTGGAAGAAAGATGGTCAGAAGGAAGTGTTCTTGTATGATGCAGGTCTTATTTACAACAACGGCCACACAGGTCAAGATGACCAGTTCAAACAACGGGTCTCTTATTTTCCTGATCAGTTGACGGTCGGTAACGCCTCCATAGTCATCAAACAGACAAAGGTGACTGACAGTGGAAACTACACCTGTGATTTTCCACGTCTTCAGTCACCGAGACGATTCCACATTGAGCTGGTTGTTGGTGCTGCTCGAAAGCCATATGTCACAAGAGTCAGTGACACAAAAGACAATGCTGTGCTACAGTGTGAAGTTCAAGGTGCTTTTCCCAAACCTCAGCTCCAGTGGCAGGACAGTGATAAAAACATCATTCCCAGGTCACAGAAAGAGGAGGTCGCTACGACGTCATCCTCAACACTACTGTGACCAAGACTGACCACTATCGCTGTGTCGTCACACAGGAGGAGATTAGCCACGAAGTTTATTCTGAGATTGACGTGAATATCAGTGGTTCAGGGTATCACACTTTAGTGGTTGTTGTTCTTTGTGTTGTAGTAGTGCTTGGAGTTGCACTTTACATCTTCTGGTATAAAAAACGAGGACGTCGACAGAAGAACCAGGATGTTTCTGAGCCATGACATAACGCATGTGAGCGAGGAAAACTCCAAATGTCTAAGGCACTGGTCAGTCCTTATAACACTATGGTCACCTCGGTGTGTCGGCCAGAACACCACCTAAGGCCCATACATTCCCAGAATAAATCAGGTGCTTGAAGTTGCAGTTAACGATCCTTTAATCCAATTTCTCATACAAAGATTACACGTGGGTGTGGTTTTTCCTGCAAATAATATAGATACAATACAATGAAATAGGATTTATTATCTACCATCAGTACTCCTGAACATGTTTGTAGTTCCCACAGCATTGACCTTTTGAATTAATGTATGGCAGACATTTTAAGTTGTTATACATCTGTTAACTGTTTAGCTGTGTTATTGTGCTTTATTTTTCTTTTATTTTTTGGGCTGATCTTAATTACTCTATTCTAGACATCTGTTGTGTTTCCATTCTGCTATGAAAGGTACTCTGGGTAGTTGGATGTTTTTAAAGTGATAATATACACAAATTTGACTTGATTTAATACTGCAAGGCAAAGCAATGTTAGCAATTATATTGTTCGTGTTTGTTCTACTGTGGGACAACAGTAGGAATAGTTAGGAATACCAAACCCACAGTTAGGTGAAAGAATTGACAGACTACAGGATTACCATGTATATCTAAGGGCATGATAAGTCTTTTTTCTCTAACTATTGAACAATGTTAATCTTTCTTTGCTGTTTCCACCGGTGAGACAAAGGAGACATTCCTCCAGTAGCAGCTGATATCCTGAAAATTATACCTGCTATGTGCGCTCTGTTGTCTCCCACTACCTGCTGCTGGCCTGGTGCAAGGAGACATTCAGCATCACTATCCTGCCACCCGGTTGGTGAATCAACCCACCTCAGAGGCAGACACATGGTGGATATGCGGAGACAGCAAGCTGAGACCGAGACTCCCCTCACAATGCCAGAGCAGCTGTGCCCTGAGACAGCGGCTGATGCCCTTTCACATGCCTCCTTGAGAGAAGACAAGGAGCTAGGGGAAAGCTGTTATCTGCATCCCACCTACATCGCAGGATCAGAAGAGAAGACGGCTGATAACCCAGAGAAACGGCTGATAACAGAGTGTACATAGATGAAATTGGTATATGAGTTCAAAGTTAAAAAATTGAAGATAAACAGATTTTTCTTTCCGGTGGTTTACAGTAAATGAAGATGTAGAGTAGATTACTATTGCCGGACATGTTACAAATGATTGATACTTTGATTAATAAGGATGACCTTACCGATTAATTTTTCATTTTTTGGTTGTTTGCAGTATTTGTTCTTTTCCATTGTTGATTATTTTGCATTTACATAGGATTCTGCAATTTATTGTTGCATTTCAATGAGGATTGTTTTATTGGTATCTCTCCATGTTTGTGTTATTCATTCTGCTTATTCATTCCAGTCATTTGCAAATGTAAGTTTATTTGCATTGTATACTACATTGCATTCATTCGTTTTAAGAGGATGAGGAGCTCTCATGTGTATTTGTAAGTTGGCCTCTGATAACAGAGGCCAAAGGGGGGTGGAATCGTTTAGCCAAAACATGAGGAAAAGTCAAGGTGCGTGACTGTTGTTTTCGTGGTGTGTATCTAAAACAATTGGACATAACCTTACACATTAAGACAAATATTAAGACTAGCATTACAGTTGACACTAACAGCTCTTTGCCTGTAACCTTGACCTGCCTGCAGTCTGCACTGCAAGTACATTACTGAACAGTTAACAGCCTGAGCTAGTCAATCTGTCTCCACTAACATTTCTAATACAACAGATCTCTGAATATCTATCTAACTAGGAAATAACCTAACACTGTGATCCTTGAATAAACCAGCATGATTTTTTGTAGCCACTTGGACCGCCTCGTCTCTCTGAGTTCAACTGGTAAAGCGTAACTGGGAAAATATCCGTCACAATGTTACAATGACAATAAAATAAAGCAGCTGCGAATGGTAGCTAGCTTGTTGATATCTGATGCTAGGAAGTTCCCAACATGTAAAACTATTAGTCAAAGCACAAACAAGCCAGAAGACCAAGTTCCATAGAGTAAATTATTTTATTAATATTCACAATTCCTCATCAGCCGAGAAGCAAAATGACCCGATTAAAATCCTTCACGTAACTGAACGATAAAAATAGAAACAAGTCATTTTAATCGTGTTGGCTTTAGCATGAAAGGGTTAATTATGTGTCAACCAGAAGACCAAAAAAAAAAAGCTTTTAAAAACTCCAAGCAATTCCTTTATGTTAAACTAACATTACATTAATTAGTAATGAGATCCCTTTTTTACCTTTAGCTAACTATTTACGTGAGGTGATCGAGAAGCTACTGTAGGAATACTGAGCGGTTTCAGACCATGACAGGGTCCAATTCTATTACACTTACGGCCTACTGTAAACACATATACTGTATACATCTGCTTTACAACAGTAAGTGTTTTAAAGGGCTAGATAATACTGGTGATCAAAGCCCTGTAATTAGCCAATGTTACCCAGAATGCACCAAAACCGTAAACTGGGATCTCCCGGATGCACCAAACACCACAGTACATTAACACTTGGCACTCACTGACTTTGCTTTCCTTGCTACACTTCCCTGAGTCCCATCAAAAACATTTCTGTACGAGATGATTAAATGTTTAGGGAGGAGGATTTAAACTAACTTTCAACCCCTTCATTTCTGAGGAAATGTTCATTTTCCTCAATTTTATCAAACTAGAAAAGAAAAATGAGGATAAAAAAAAAAGCTTTATTCTCAAATTCTAATCACAATGAACTCTGAGCTCATCGGACAGGCTGTCAATTCATGCGTCTTAGGTAACTTCATATTACAAGGTTATGATGTGCACAGCTTCATTACTATAAACCTGAGAGGACAGTGATGTCACATGAATCATAGCGGTGAAGGTAGAAAACTGGAAAAGTCCGACCTTTCACTGATGACCACTGAATATGAGGAGGCCAAATAATCCACGACAACTGTCGTAGCTTTACACCTCCATGTTGCACTCCCATGACATCACTGTCCAGCTCCTCGCTGAATGGCACATAGTCCAATTTGCTCTTACTCACTTTTGCCTGATAAAAGCAGAATTCGTCACATTTAGACTGAGAAGCCAGGGATGTACTCACACCATGCATTTAGCAATAAGGGTGTTTCCTCAAGTGTCAAAAATATTTCACCCAAATCTGTCCAACACCTTCGTTTACCTCTGGAATCACTGAAGTCTTTCCTCCTGCATCCCAAACTATAGTGGTCATAAAATATCTTTCCTTTCTTCACAAGCCATAGAAAACATATTTGTCAATCTTTGCAATGCAAAACACTTTCATTACCCCAGTGCTCATTTTTTCCCCCATCAGTACCAAGAGAGTACACAGAGAGCTTGTTTCAACCTTTGTGGAAATGTGTCTGTGTGTAACACTGGTTTGAAAACAGCTGATTTATGTTACCCAATAAACAGGGACAGTGGATTTGCCCCATAGGACAAATAAGACACTGGGTAAAGCAATTCAACTACCCTTACTGGCACCTAACAAGGGGAAGAGCAGAAATTCTATAACCATTTCAATACTCAGATATTCAAAATACTTAATTTGCTAGTGTGAACTCAAACACCACAATGCTCCCTTTCAGTCTCTGCTTATGTCCTCAGTTCATACACATGGGTCATTCACAGGGCTGTGGTCTCGCCGAGCAGTGTGCAGAACAGTCCGTCGCATCCACAAGGAATCAACAAGCACATCTGGCCACAGAGCACCAGCTCCAGCTGAGGGAAAAACTCAGACTGAGCCCCAGCATGCTACAGACTGTGGGTAGAAAAATGAAAACATAGCAACGTCACCGTTAAATCTCCTACGCAGTGTGCAACAGCCCTTTCCTCCGAGGCTGGGCCAGTCTTAATGCCCAGAAAAACACGCTGCAACCACCGAGTCACTGTGGGAAGGACTAGGAGGTTCGATCACAGGGATTCAAGATGGACGACGGAAATTTCAGCCTTTAGGTCTTGAAGTCAGAATCATCAGCTCCGAGTCTGTCCAGAGCGTGACGCCATGTCCAAAGCAATTACAGAAGAAGAAGAAGATTTAGTTCTTCCAGTAGAAGAAGCCACAGCCAGTCTTATTGAGGCATTCCTCCCAGTTTGTGCCAGGCTAACAAGAGAGTGCTCACTGCTCGCTGGGGGCTCGACAGTAGGCTGGGTGGGAGATTTTGTGGTCCAGCACTGAAATCCGGTCCATCCAGACCTCTTCAGCCCCTTTCTGCAATCCTTCAACAACAGAAGACAGTATGAGCAAAAACACAATCACCACTTTTACATTAAGACACAGATTGTTTCAAAGACAAAGCTTCAAGACATGCAATGACAGACTGATTAGTTAAAGAGCCCATGTTGGGTTTTTTTTGACTTGTCTACAATGTTACAACAGTGAAGTATCATCTTTGACGTGACCCTGTATAACAGCTGTGATTTCCATCTACTGTGTAGTGTAGATGGCACTGCCTGTCTTACAGAAGGATTAAGCACAGCTCACTGCTTTTTATTAAAAGAAAGTGTGACAGAGATGTGAAGACTTCTGAGTAAACTGGTATAATGACTATAGAGGCACAGACTGAAAGTATGAGCCGCCGTCTCAGTCGATGGAAAAGATTCTGCTCCACCAGCTTTTCAGACACTGAGTGCAGGGAAAACAGAGTAGGTGGAGGGTTTGTGGTTGGAATGCAGCGCTCAGACAGAACAAGTCTTTGAAGTGTGCACAATCTGGACACACTCCATTAGAAACAGGTGTCTGGGTGTGTGTGTGTGTGTGTCTGCTGTCATGCCGTGTTTTGTCTAAGCAAGGCCGAACTCATGCATCTACTTATTCTGACTACAAGTAGAAATACAGTACGTGTTAAAAGTTAAGTGGATCAGTGTGTGTTTCTCACCTGTTCAGTTGATGAGGATACCCGTCGGACGTCCCTCCTCCTCACTGATGTTCTTCAGGTTGTTCTCGGCCTCGTCCACAGTGCTGCACAGCACACACGCAGACACACACAAACCACAAGGCTAAGTCATCCTCGAAAACACATTTGAAATTGCACAGCATGTCTGTACGTGCACATACTCTTGTTAGTTTGTTCTTCAAAACATTATTTTTCCCACCAGTATATAAATCACAATGGAAATCAGATCAACTCTAAAGTATCAGAGAGCAAGTGCCTACGTTAGGAAATCCCTGACATCCTCCACAGTTATTTCTCCGGTGGAGTCGATGGTGAGGTCGGCACAGCTGAGGGGGGAGTCCAGCGGTGTGTCCAGGACGGGAGAGGACAGGCTGCTCAGAGACTCCTCTGTTTGTCCTGAGAGGGAGAAACCCACAGAGTCATGTTTCACCAATAGGTGTGTGTTGCTGGAGGACTCTTACTGGCTCTGAAGAGTCTTTCACTAATGTTGGATTTGGTGAATAAAATTTTGACAAGCAGTTTTAAAACAACAACTTTAACACAGTGTGATTACACAGTGGATTCAAAGATGCATCTTTTAGAACCCAACATGCATTCAGATCAGGCGATGAGATGGAGTACAAAGCTGCTAAGTACAGACTGAGGAAAGCCATCACAGCAGCCAAGAGGCAGTACAGAGAGAAGCTGAATGGCTTCTATTCTACTGCTGACTCCGGACGGATGTGGCAAGGCCCGCAGCACATCACAGACTACAGGACCACCACCAGCATCATCAGCTCCACAGACAGCCTGCCGGATGACCTCAGCGCCTTCTACACCCGCTGTGAAACCTGAAGCCACAGCACAGAGAGGAGGCACACACACGCCGATCCTGCACTTTCCCTCTGCACAGCTTTTTTAGCATTGCTAAGTTCATTGTTTTGGTTTTTTGGCTCATAACTGAACTGCTTTGGTTTACAGTCCCACCAAGTGGCCAAAAATATAATTTAATGTGGGTTTAAGTAAGGCTTTAGGTTAGACTTCTCTGAGATGGGGGGAAAAGCACTTTAGCAAAGTGGTCATTCACTGAAATTACTCAAATCTGGCTCTTCAAATACTGTCACAAGTTCTTCCTCTGACACTTCCCTCACAGAGAAAACAAAAGGACAGTCAGCCTCTAAATAAATACCATCAAACAGTTAAGACTTGAGTCTCTCCATCTTCTATAAACCATTTTAATGGTGCATTCATTCCTATGATTACCTACAACTACCCTAATGTGGCCTCCACTACAACCATCATTTCTTGCCAGAGAGGGCAGTGCTGGACAGGAGAGACAACTGGGGCATATTGAATGATTACCACAGCGACCAGAGGGGAACCCCTGCAGGGCCTGGTCGGGGTTTAAGAGGTTCAGAAACAGAAGCCAGTGATGAGGGCAGAGAAGAGATGGTGGAGAGAGAAAGAGGGAGGGAGTTCAGACTCACCCTCAGCCTGACCCAGCTGGTTCTTGCGGGTACCGTTGGCCTGCGGCTGCGTCGTTGTGCCGTCGCTGAGGAGACACGAGCACAGAGCACACACACACCATTTACTGCTGCAGATGGAGTAATAAAAATGCAGAAACAGTGGAGACACCATTTCTTTGGTTTCACATGTAGCTGACTACTCGAGCTGGTGGTAGCCTAACAGAAAGCATTCCAAACTGTAGGTTTAGTGGTTTCCAGTGTGGCGTTCAGGGACCACTCACGGTTCCCGATAGGCTTACAGTGGGTCCACAGAAAACATCCAAATCGATGAGCAGGAATTCCCTGTAGCCAAACTCTCTTTAATATGATTTTTGGATCAATGTGATGCAATACATTGATTTTTCAGGATTAGCCAACAACAAATTCCTGTCTGATTTTTTTAGCCACTAACAATTTATCATCATATTACATGTGAGGATTCTATCGACATCTCCCGACCCTAGTTTATCTGTACTAGTTATCTGGCTACCCATGTTACGCAAGTGTGAACAAATTATCTTCTGGGTTCCTTCTACCAAAAAGGGACCTTTTAAAGTTAATCAACATTGGATGTCACTGACATGGGAAAGTGTGGGAGGTCTTACAGTAGCTACTTCTTACTTTATGTATGATGCTACCCTTCCTACAAACAGTGCTCACACCAGAGCCCTGCACTGGATCGGGTACCCGCAAAAAATTATGTGCAATGGGTAAAAAACATCTTTATATTAATTCGCCGGTAGGGGCACAGGCACAGGCCAAGTCAGACATATGGGACAAATTTGTTACCAGCAGCTTTGCCACTTGTAAATAGTGCCAAAAAGGTGTTAGCACTTGATAGCTGCAAGCTGGGCACCTCCTCACTAAGGGAACAGCTGCAGAGCCCAGGTGCTGCGTACATCGATGTACGTTTCCAAGAACATAACCCTCAAGCACCTTAAAGTCTATTTCAATTACAGGTTCAGGTCTGGTCGCGTGTCTGGTGGGTCCGGATTTCATTAAGACAACTCCAGGTGACAGGTCGGGGTCCGATACAGAGCTTTGTGGGTTTTCAAAACTGGACCCGTGCAGGACTCTGGCTCAGACAACACAGCTTAATTAAAGCTCTGGTTACATCCCATGAAAATGCAGCTACACTGTGCTCATTCATTAAGCTTTTATCTTTTTTTTTTATTGACTGAATGGGTTGCACCTCTCAAAGTCAGGAGCTTGTTGTAAAATTTAACTCCAGTAACTGAAAATACAATTTAACATTTGTTCTCACTTTATTACTTAAAACATACACACTGGTCTCTTATGTGCTCTCTCTCAACTTCAACATCTTTGGAGTATCTCCTCTTAAGTTGTTAACTATTTTATAATTTCAATGATTTGTGGAATAAAATGGGCTGTGGTTGATTTACATGCATTTCCAATTAATACACCAGGGATGTGGCAGAGAAAAGGCGGCTGATTATAATCAGTGTGGACAGACGAAAGATGTGCGTCCTAATGAAGGTTGGCTCCTTGACATTTATACCGACTGTCAGCGTTACCTGGCAGGTGTGGGCTCCAGCGGTCGGTCCAGCTGAACAGAGCACAGTGGCTCAGTGAGGACCTTCGCTGAGAGGGAGAATCGTTCATACTCTGAGGGAGAGATCAGATAAAACCCTGTGGAGGGAAGAACAACAAGAGAGTCTGAACTAGAGATTCACTGAGAACTCTGCCAGAAACACGCACAGGTCCATTCACCTCCACCATACTGGGTGGAACAGTCGATATTTCAGAGCCTAAAACCAAAACTACGTTTTGTAATCTGAGTGAACTGACCCTTTAACCTTTAACAGGTTTCCCTGCAGTGTTAAAATCACTATCAAAAGTCTCATTTTGCGACTGTCAGTGAATATTTTCCACTTTTATTTAATAAATGAAGCCTTTTCTCCTCACCTTGTCCAGTCTTGGTGAAGACACAGGATGCAATGCCGCTGATGTCTTCTTTGCGGATGCAGTTGTAGCGCACCTAAAGACACTCCGAGAAGTCAAATATCAGTACATCATTAAAGAAATCATCAACATTATCATACCACTGCCAGTAATGTCAATTACTACACAGGAAATACCACAAAAATGTGTTAACCTGTGGTCGGAGGCCCGGTATGTTGAAGAGGTGCATGTCCCCCAGGTTGGTCAGACAGACCAGTGTGTGTTCACTGTAGTCCTCCTGAGCCGTGGAGCTGAAAACCACCAGGGCCACCTTTCTCACCCGACAGCCTTCATGCGCAGTCAGCTTGAACTTAGTCTTGGCGCTCACTTTAGGGAGAGAGAACACCTGCAGAGGGAACAGAGCAGCCACGATTTCAAACTGTAGTAGCTTATGATGCCCAGTCTCAGCTTTTCACCATGTTTCTTAAACAGTGTGGTCAAGTATTTGCCCATAAAATACATGGAACAAGCCAAAAAGGAACGACTGTCTTTTGAAATAACAAGGTAAGTGCACAATAGTGTATGTTTTGATGAAATGACAAAAAAAAGGTGGATTCAAGCCTCTACCTTGAGCTGTTCCTCCGATGCAATGAGGACAGAATGAGCATTGGTCATATCCGGTGCGATGGCGAGGTCCTGGGAGGCTTCATATGGGTCCGGTAACGGCTTCCCCCGGCCGTCCAACATGCAAATCGACACCACGGGGGCCCTGTGCATCAGCTGGATCTCTTTACCCAGCACCGCCTCCACACACACACTGCTTTCACTTGCTCCACCTCGCTCACACGCACGCCCTAAGCCTATGCCGGGTACCTCCAGAGCGTAGGCATACACACTGCCTGAGTTGGTGCCTGCCCATAGTGTGGGGCCGTGGTGTGTACCTGGTAGATACAGCAGGATAAAAATAACAGTCATTCAAAAAACACAGAACCAAGGCTGTATTGTCAGTGAGAGTGCCACAGTCAGTAAATAGACACACCGTCACGCAGGAAGGTGTCGGCGAAGCACAAACATCGGACCACTCCAGACAGCGAGTCGTCTGCTGACCGCGGCTCAATCCTCCGCTGGACCGGAGCGACTTCCTCCTGCTCTGCTAGAGCAGCGTTGGCCTCTTGGATCTGGACGCAAGAGTCACAAAACACCAACGTTAATTCTGTTTGTTTGTTCTGAACGGCCCTCTTACTACCACAGAGAGACACTACCTTTCTGGTGGGTGTGGCGATGGTGCGTTTCTTCCCGGACACCCTGCTTTTGCGGATGCGTCTGAAGCTCTGTCGCAGGGACTTTTTCAAGGACTTGACCCTGGACAGGGGGCCCTCCATTGCCAGTGAGTCATTAGGGTGTAGGGTACACCTATGGGGAACATATAAAACAGTAGTGTTGCTTTTTCGCATCTTTTTTTTTTTTCCTTGCACTGGCCCAGAGGTTGAGTATAAATTCTGAATGTCCATTATTTCCCTGTTAAACACAGAAGGATGAATATTAATATCCCAAGCTGTGACTGGGAGTCTCTACCTGGCCAACACAGTGTTTCGTCTGTGGTAGTCAAATAGGCCAAACCCATGACTCGTCCCAAAGGCGATCAGGTTCCACTCTGCATGCAGTGCCACCGCTGTGACCGAGGCCGGGGGCAGGCACTGCACCAGCACCAGTGGCTGAAAGCCTGGGGGGAAGGGGGCAGGTTTAAGGCGCGGCTCCAGTCTGTCATGACCCTTCCAGGTGAAGCCCTCCCTGTCCTGCAGCAGATCAACCACTGACACGTCCACCAAGTGGGCTGAACGGTCATCGCTCAGACCCAGCACAATCACCTGGAGAGACGGAAGCAAAGAAACATCAGGACTCCACTTCCTCTACTATCAGTAACTGTATACCAGTATGTAGGAGACACCTGCAGCAGAACACAGGACGAGGTCACTATTATAGAAGACCCACTTGTGTTATGACACATTTTCATAGTATTAAAACATTAAGGGACGATGGCGTTCACTGAAAGTGACCAGCCACAAAACAGATTTTAAAAACAGTTTCCTGACCTCCTCGTCATTTTAAGGAAAGGAAAGGTGGAGTCATCACAGTCATAGCAGCTAGCTTCTAATCAGTCAGAGCTGGGCACCGTATCAGAAAATACCACAATTAATAATCAGAGCACGTTCGTGAACATTTTACTCAAATATATGATATTAAAATGCATTACACCGTACACGTTGTGTGCCTCATCTTACACAGCCTAATGTCAGTAATCACTGCTAATGCCAATCAATTTTATAATCTATTTACACATTCCTACCTAAAAATACTTTGGGTTTTAAACTACGTTAAAAATAAATGACTATGTATGAAACATTTATTGCTCTGTGTAGTACAGAGTTTGCATGTGTATGAACCGTGCGTGCACACTTACCTGTCCAGCAGTTCCAGCCACCACCAGCCTGTTGCTGTATTTGCACAGACTGATCTTCTGGATGCCGAGCCTGGGGTCATCGCTGTACGGGTCAAAACAGCCCACCTACAAACACACATGTGAGCTGGATAGAATAATACACATTAAGCAAACCACAGGCAGACCTCTTTAGTTGGAGTTCAGCTTCTTACTGCACTCTGATTAACTTCATTTCCAGTGATCATTGACATCTTTCGGAAAGCCACACGTGCACAACAGAAAAATTGATGCGGCACATTGAAGATGCACACGGTGTGGAGCCAACCACCAGTGTTACACTGGGAATGACACCATACAAATTTATGCCAGGAACCAATAACTGACATGTATCTCAGCAGCAAGGGTGCAGCTGCTGAGTTTCTTCTCAACTCTGCACCTCTGATTTTCCAAGATCAAGCTAGAACTGAAACATCCACCAATGAATTCAGTTCAGGCAGACCAATATCAAAATGCCCTCCTGAAGCTCTGCTCATCCTCCTGCCTCTACCAAACGCCAGGACAGTCCCCACTTTTCCCCTCCGACATATTCAGCAAAACGTGCTGAGACTGGGCTGATGGGTCTGGTTTTCATTACAGAGGAGGAAAAAAAAGGAAAGCCTCTTCATCCCATAAGGAGGGCCACATTCCTGAACATGCAACTCTGTTACCACAGAATACAGGAGGAATGGTGGTGGGGGGGGATAAAGGAGTGAATAGAGAGAAGAGAAAAAGCAATGTGAAACAGCCTTAAGATGTGTTTGTGGATACTAATCTGTTCCCTGTAATTAACCAAGATCAGCTTCTACCCCTTTACTCTTAATCTATGAGCCCAGATGTTACACAATGTTATGCTGGACATCCACATATTCCCAATTGTGGAAACGGTCCATTTAAATATTCATTCATTTATCTGGTTCCAGTCAGTGTTTACAGAAGCCAAACTACTCAGACTCCCTCAACATGAAATTCTGCTTCCCAAAGCTGAATCACTTCATTTAAATGTAATTCTGTGCAGAAAACAGCCCATTAAAACAGAATCAGACTGTGGTTCAGTCAGGTTTTAATAACAGGAACAACGGGGTGGGTCTGTCTGAAAACAATCAAATGGGAAAGTCAAGACACAGATGTAGTGTTGAAGGACTGAGTGTGTGTAAAACATTTTGATTCCCATCACCTGTAAAGTAAGACTCAATGCCTGATCTCAGAGGAAAGACTAACTCTCTTAATCATACAGCCGTTATCCTCTTCTCATGCATGCCTCCTTACTTCTCACCTTCCTGAAGGGAGGCCATTCCTCCTCCTCCTGCTGCATATCAGGGTCACTGCTAGGGTCCTGAGGGTCGTCGCTAGGGTCACAGTCAGTGTGGAAGATGTTGGCTGTGCTGAGTTTGTACAGCGGGGTAAGAGCGACACCCGATGCATCCCAGAAACGAACAGTGCCGTCCTCATGCCTGTGGAGAAATATTTCTCTAAATCTCTACAAGTATAAACCTGATTTAAAAGTATTTCAATGATCTGTGAGTTTATGCCAATGTATCTGCATCTGTGTGACTGTGGTAGTCTTTATCAACCATCACCTACACTGGGTAATGTCAGTGCATCGGTCAGCCAGTCCACCACTTTGGTACCAATAGAAACCTCTCAACCACTATGTGATGAGCCGCCATGACATTCACAGGTCCCGGAGGATGAAACCTAATGGCAAGTCTGACTTTATGAGTAGCATAAATTTTTATTTATGCAACATCTACATGGATGTCTGTCGCCCCACAGGAGGAATTCTGAACTTTACTGTCTTTAGTAAATATTAGTGTGCTAACAAACAAAGCTAACTTGTATCATCATGCTGGGATACTCAGACTGAACATGTCACATCAGCAGAGCTGCAAACATGTTATTTTCCACAAACCTCACGATAGAAGGGAACAACACGTGTAACCATGGTAACTGTACACAATATTAAAAATGCACTTGCAGACGACACCGCTTATAAATCCAAAAGTTAACTCGTCCTCTAAGGAGCGTGAACGTCTCAACCAAGAATTCATGAATCCGATAGCTGCTGAGATATTTCACTCCGAGTGCTATTAAAAATGCACCTGCAGATGACACCGCTTATAAATCCAAAAGTTAACTCGTCCTCTAAGGAGCGTGAACGTCTCAACCAAGAATTCATGAATCCGATAGCTGCTGAGATATTTCACTCCGAGTGCCGCTAGCATGGATAAAAACCGTCAGAATGATTTCTCCTCATGGCTTCTCACAGTTTTCAGTTGTCGTTTTGAATTTTGTTTGAACTGTGGTGTCTCCCTAAATTACAGTCAATCCATCTGTTTCACTTCCTTGCGCTATTCCAAACATCTGTACATAGCAAACTTCTGCAAACTGTCAGCATTTTCTCATTTGCCACAGCAGTGCTGACAAATTCTGGTTTCAGGACAAATTGCATTTAGATCCAGATTCATCCCATATATTCATATGCTTCAAATCATAAATAAAAAAAAGCATCAGATTTATGCTACGACAAAAAAAACCGGATGCACCTGCAGTGTGGACGCAAGCTACGAGTGTGTGTGTGTGTGTGTGTGTGTGTGTGTGCGTGTGTGTGCGTGCGTGCGCGCAGATACCCTGTCAATAACAGCTCTTGTTGTCTTGGTGGTGGCGCCCGGTTTTTTCCTCCACATATTGGCCAACTCTGTGCAAACAGACAAAGATTGGGAAGACGTTAGGAGTACGTCACACTGAACAAAGCTGCAGGAGAAATATTCAGTATTGGACTTGCCTTTACATCTACATTTCTCCTAACCCTTTCAGATTCACCATGACCACAGCTCAAAATTTACTGGCCCTGACACACAGGTCCATATGGATGAGCACGTGTACACAAACTCTGGCCTCTGCAGCTCAGTGCTCTCGTTTTGCTTCCTCTGCCAGTCTCTCCGACTTCCTGGCACAGACTGACAGCAGTGATTTAAGAGCAAACCAGTTGTGTGTCTGCATGTGTGTTTTAGTCTCATCTGCCACTGATCAAACAGCCGATCCGAGCTACGAAGCCTCTGCAAAGTCTTTAACTGCCTACACCTGCCCTTAAAATTCACACACTAGCAGCAGGCTGATGGTCACACTCCTGTTGGTTTCCTCATAACTGACTAGCTGTGAGCTCAGATGAACAAGCACCAAGAGTAGAAATCAATTTTAAGCTCTGCAGTTTCACCTCTTTTATAATGCCGGGGACTCGTGAACAGGGGCAGCTAACAAACACTTGATAGAAATCCAGACTGTGCAACATGCTGATCTGTATATGCAGTACTTAATGCACACTAGCTACATTAAAAGCATGAGTAGCTTGGCTATTGGCCATATTCTGCTTAAGGTGATCTCAGGTTAAGATGCTTACATGCATCTTGAATTTTTCATAATTGATCATCCCTAATGCCATGAATAAACCCATTTACTGAATAATCCTGTTGTGTAGCGTCCTGCCAGCACCAGCAGCGGTCCACTGATGCAGCATAAAGAAATGCTGCTGCCCTCTACATTTCACTCAGCAGAAATTTGTTACATCATAGAAAAACATTTTGGTGATGCCAAAAGGACTAAAGACCAAGAGAAACGGACAAAAGACACGGCAACCACATTGATGCAAACAGCTACAAAATGCAGCAAAAGCATTTGTGACAGTAGCAAAGCCTACGAGATAGTCTAAAAGAGTGTGTTCAGTCACTTTAGATTCACAAACATTCCCCCAAAAACCACTGAAAAAGGTTTTCAGGCTGTCAGGTTTAGTTAGGATTTTCTAGGAATTATAAGTGAATACAGAAGTACGATCTCCGTTGATTTATAAATGTTTAGCAGTGGCTCAAAAATAGACAAGAGGTCTGAAATGCACAAAGAGGCCAGCTCATGAATAGCTTTAAAAAGGAGTCATAAAAATTTAAGAGCAATTCTAACTGGCAACCAGTGGATGGATCTCACAATTGGGTTTATGAGAAGTTGGTTAAAAAGGTTTAAGAGCACAATTATGTTTAAAACGACTTTAAAGAGAACTGGCAGGCATATAATAGGAATTTCCTACATGTCTCCTATCAGACTGTACTGTACGGATCGCAGCGTGCTCCTCACCCTGTGAGTGCGTTGCCGGCCCTGCTGTGCTCGGCCGGCGTTGACCACCCTCTCCCAGAGTTTAGGAGGGACGCTGGAGATGTGGCAGGAGCAGGTGATGGCTGAGGAGTGGAGAGGAGCCAGGTAAGGAGTGGGCAGAGAGGGCCACCCCGGAGTCTGGAGGTCGATTACCACCAGCTCCTCTTCTAGTAGCACTACCAACGCAGAGGGGTCATCAAACTCTGATGAGGAAAACAGGATTACATTCATGAATCAATATGGACGAACTGTCAGGAATTCATAAATACACAATGGAAAGAATGGCCACAGACCTTTCTCCGGCTCTATACTGTGGACAGTGAAGAAGTCAATGACACGGGATGTGAAGTCGAGGGTGACGTGGTCCTTGTCCCGCTGAATGGTCAGACAGTGGCGGTCGCCGTAGCTGGCTCTCTGCATTCCTCCGCTGTACAGCAACACTGGGGACCTGGAGCGAGTGTTTCATGTTAAATTCACCTCAATTATGTTGCAAGACCCAGCAGGAGCTTCCAGAAGAACTAAATCACTGCAACACAAATTCCAGATGATAAAGATTTGACCATTCGTAGTATGAAAACAGTGGTTCAATTCTTTGTTTTGGTTAATTACTTTCACAGACTTGAAACAATCAACTCATTTTCTCCAAATTTCTCACTTCACATTTTATTACAAACCAGCTTTCTGTAAAATCACCCTCTTGGGGCAGGACACAGCGACGTCTGGATTTATAGGGACCTTCGATCAAATGAAACGAGATAAAAAGAATAAAAGGAACCAATAAAAAGAAAAGAGCAAGAGAAAAGCTTTGGCGATGGGATACAGCCCAGTCTGGCTGCAGGGACCAAATGTCCTCATACAGGAAAAAGGGCTTCAACACTCACCCTGTGCACGTTGTCCTCCAAAGGATCTTGTTGATGGCCTTGCAGGGAAATGGACCTGGGGCAGACAACCACGAACAATGATGTTAGAAAATGTTAGGCTGCAAGCAGTAAAAGATGGCAGAAGAAAAAGAAAATTATTAGTTGAGAAAAATATAAAGCAAAGTGTTTAAAGATTTTTCCATATATATTTAGAATTAGCATCGCTGTGTGGAACCTGACTGAAGAGAGCCTCGTAACCATCACTATAGCTGCCCTGTCAGTCATGGTGCTTCACAAATGGTTCAGTTTGCCCTCATCAAACACTGGTCTTCCTGGACAAGGCCACCACCTCCACCAGACCCAGACGACAGCGTGCATAAAACAAATGTATGCGTTTCTCACCATAAGGAATGGTGGAAGATGCTGGCTGATGACTGTAGGTGTTGCCGCTGACAACAGGCCACACAGAGTAGCTGCCATCGTTGTGGGAACTGACAAACAAGCTTCCAGAGCGTTCCCACACCAGGCTCTCCAGCTGCTGCAGGGGGGCGTGCGCACACACACACACACACACACACAGCCATCACATCAGGTTACATGGCAGTAGAATTGCAGTTTGTACAGACGTACACATAAGTTAAGCCTACTTACAGTGAGTCAGTGATACTTATTTTGTCATTATTCTAAATCGAGTAAAAAGTGTTTCTCAAGATATTTTTACTTCTGTCAGGCTGCTCCCTCTGCAGCCTCTCACAGCAAACACACCATGTTAGTAAAAAGGTACAGAGATGTGCACTAAACTTCGCTCTGTAAACCAGGTACCTGTTTGCCCAGGAAGAGCTGTTCAGCGTGACGGGTGCTCAGGTCCCACAGGACCACCAGGCCTCGGCTGTAGCCGATCAGTATCTTTCCTGCCCGCTGAGGATGTTCCTGAAGAGACTCCACTGGCCCTAAGGACTTTCCACATCTGTGGTCATCTGGAAGGCTGATAAGACAGCACATCATTATCTCATACAGACTACGTAGCTAAGGCTATGTTCACACCACAGGCCTTTTTGTCAACACAACATGCAAACCATCTGTGCAAGATAACTCTTCCAACAGCGAATTCCAAGCTGGAGCAGCAGAGGAATGTGGAGCAGGACACACCCTCGAGATGTCAGAGGATTGCCTCAGCAGCGGACAAGGAATAGAGGGGGAAGTGACAGATGAAGAAAGGAGAGGAAACAGCAGGGAGACTGAGAAAATGACAAGAAACAAAACAAAAAGAGGGAGAAAAGCATTGCAGCTTTCTGGGCTCTTTGCTGCAGATGAGAGAGAGAGAGAGAGAACTATCACTGAAAAGAGAAAGCGCCTGCCTCACACACACACACACACAGACACACACACACACACAGACACACACACACACACAGACACACACACACACACAGACACACACACACACACAGACACACACACACACACAGACACACACACACACACAGACACACACACACACACAGACACACACACACACACAGACACACACACACACACAGACACACACACACACACAGACACACACACACACACAGACACACACACACACACAGACACACACACACACACAGACACACACACACACACAGACACACACACACACACAGACACACACACACACACACTTCTGACTGCTTTGGTTGGGTTCACAGAGGAAGATCCTCTCCGGAAGCACAGAGGCAGAAACATTCCCAACAAAGCATTGCATTGTCAGTCTCCCCGTTCACAAGTATTATTAGGGAATCCAGCATCCTGCTGCAGAGTCCCGGTGATGAGCCTCTGTGCGTGCGTGTGTATGTGCACACTGGAGATTCAGCTGAAACACTTCCCCCAACCGGAACACTGTGTTTTGGCAGCCGGTATAAAGCCTCACTGTGTAGAGCCTCCCCTCCTTTGCATGCGCACACACACGCGCCTTATCAGGGCCCTCGTTAGGCCTCGGTTCTGCCCACTTCCCTAAACAAGCCTGGTTAATGAGGGGTTTGGCCACCCAGCAATAGAAGAAAAGAGACAGAAGCTCAGTGATACACTGCCAGAGGATCAGCCCAGGAATGCAGTGAGGAAGGCTGCAGCAAACAGCTACCATCACATTTTAACCCAAATGTTACTGAACGGTACAGAAAAGCATGTGACGTCAGCGTCTTCCAGCTGAGTCCTGCATGTTTCAAAGTAGTGTGAAGAGCACACACAAACACAGACATTTCTCATTTGAACGACCTAAAACATGGGGACAATTGCATCCTCCTGTCAGACCCCATGTCTGGGCAAATCCCAATTCCCTTATCTGATCATTCCTCAATCCTTATATGGACCAGGGTGCTTATTTCTGTCCAAACAGAAACAGTGAGAGCATAGTGACCGAACCTGATGCAGTTTGGTAATAGTTTTAGGCAGAGAAAGGGAGAAACTAAACAGTATTAAGATGGTCAGCACTAATGATTTGCTGACGACTTGCTCAGTTTCTCATGGTCTAAATGAGGATTCAGAGGGTTCTTCTGACAGTCTAGGCTAAACACTGAATATTTATCCACCAGCTGTATCAGTGCAGTCAGCGACATCAGACTTCAGAGAAATCTAATCTTACTTTTTGTGTCATTGAAGGTTTATCTGCCAACATGTATGCAGCATTCTCACCTCTGTGTGATCTGATCCTGGAGCAGTGTCTGGGTGTCTTTCAGAGAGAGGCGAGGTAGATCCAAGAAGTAGACACCCCCACCCTCTGTTCCAATGCAGAGCAGGTCACATGATCTCAGCAAGAGGAGGACAGTCACTCGAGTGGCACTGGGAGGAGGAAGAGCAAGGAGGAAAAAAGCTGCAGCCTCGTCAAATTTCACTTCCTATACAAGTTACTGATGATAGGTTTGATACAATATCCCAAGACTCTCCAATGACCAGTCAGCCAGAGAGAGGGGGGGGGTATGAATGACCTCTCAGATTCTAAAATTCCCAAATTCCTGTAAAAAGGCAAACACACAGAATAAACAGGTCGTAACGTACCTGCAGCTCTCAATGCCAGGTCTCCCTGGGAGGCTGTAGTTGCCCACTTCCTGGAGAGAGACCACTCCCTCTCTCTTGACCCCTCCCACCTCTCTGGAGGCCCCCACCACCAGCTCCCACAAGTGAATCGTGTTGTCATCCAACAGGGACAGCAGGCGGCCCTATGTCAGATCAAGGCAGACATCAACATCACACCTTAATATTATTTGCACTGATACTGCAGCTGGGTTGTTTTTTGCCTTTACACTCACCTGTCCAGGCAGGAAGTGGATCTGCGTGACAGCACTGAGGTCTTTGTGCAGCCCTGTAAACTCCACACCGGGGGCCCCGTAGCTGCGAGGATCGTGTCAAGGACATATACAACATGGCAAATGTGCAAGAGACAGCCCCATGGCAGAAACAGACAAACAGCAGGGAGGTGATTCCTGTCAAGTGAATGTATTGTCAACATTACTTCGGGGGGTGTAAACACTTTTATGCTGAAAAAGTGCAGCTGTGTCAGATTTATAAAGGAGCCTTTTAAAATACAAAACCCCTGCTCTAGACATAAAGCCCAATAACACCATATGAACACACACAGTGATGACAGCTGAATCCATCACTACACCAGAAGGAAGGAATATTGTAAAGCAGCCATCCTTTCCTCAGAACATCATCTCTGAAGTTAAAATTCAAATGTGTGACTGAGGAGACAGAGCCCAAGTCTAAGTCACAGTTCAAACTGGTAATTCCGTGGTGTACACCAGAACAAACATGCTGGTTACGTGTAATAGCAAGGGAGAGATTAGAACACTATAACAAAGCTCATAGCAATTACCAACACCAAATGACGCAGATGCTTAAAACCACCACTCTGTGTGTGTGTGTGACTGTGTATAATCAACAGCAATCTTCACACAGCTCTTTCCTCATTAGTCCAGGAAATGGAGCAGAGCTGATCAAATAAAGACTACTCTGAAGAACTGTGATGCTAGGCTAAACTAGCACACACCCGCTATCTGCTACACATATAAACACACACTTGTGAGCAATGCTGATACACTTTAGCACACTCCTTACATAAGCCTGTAGGAATGTGGATTAAAATGCACAAGAATAGAAAAAATCTTAGAGTTCTCATGCTTGTAAGCAAGTGTGCTGGTTTTTTGCAACCCCATCTATGCTCAGTTTTATCTGAGAAATAAAGCTAGATACTTTTCCTGGCACTGCTCCCTTTCTTTCCTCTTCTCAAACATGACCAGGGAGATGTATCTCCAGTTATTTCCACCACTACCTTCCCTCTTTTACCTCCCCGAAACCCTCCATTCTCTGTGATATCCAGGAATTCACGAGGGAAGTCACTGATATCGGCTCTTTCCAAAGCCCTCCCTACAATTTTGTGGTAAAAAGAAGGATTATAATTTATTGTTTCGTTCCCACTCCCCTTCTCAAACCGCTCACTTTCCCCAGAGGGTCTGGTGGAGACCAACAGTCCTCCAGTGTCTCCTTTCTCAGCATCATATTCAACCTCCCCTTCAACCCGCCTCCTTTCTCAAAAGCTCAGAGCTGTGCTCCTCTTTCTTATCCTCGCTCATTCTCGTTCCCTCCCTGGCCTGATGCCCTGGAGTGAGTGTTACAGCAGCATTCCTTCAGTGTTGTCACTTCTTGTCCCTGGGTTGTTTTTTTTTAATTCCCTGCAATACCATGTCTCAGCAAACTAGCAGTGAAGGCGTGAGAGGAACATTCACTCATGGGTCATGAACCACAAGTCCAGGTCCTGAGAGAGACTAACTGAGAAAGTTGTGCAAACCGCAGTTAAAGAAATATCAATTTCCCACTACCTTAAAGGAACAGTCTGACATCTGAAGAGAATTGTTTTCTTGCAGTTGAAATCAGTGAATATTCATCTGCAATATGTTGCCAGCCAACTCTAAATTCCCCATAGGAGTGAGCATGGCTGTCTGTCTGTCTCCAAGTGTCAGCCCTGTGATAGACCGGTGACCTGTCCAGGTGTGACTCTGCCTCTCGCCAAATGTCAGTTGGGATTGGCTACCGGCCCCCTGCAACCCTTTTCAGGAATAAGCGGTATAGATAATGGATGGACAGAACGTTGCCAACAGCTGTGTTACAGGAAGATGAGATGTGCAAAGTAACGTCAACAAACCGAAGGACAAATACCTTACACTAGAAAAATGTAAGACACTAATGAAAACCAGTGGTAAAAACATGTGCTCCAAAGACAGGAGAGAGAAAAGGACAGGAAACTAAGTGAACAGAGAAAATCAGCTGTGTGAAGAAGATCAGAGGGACCGAGAACAGATGCTCAGGAGAGCCCTGTGTCCCAGCTATGTGACGATGACCGCAGTTCATTCAGCACCCCCCACCCCAAACTTAAGCTGGTGGTATAAAATAAAGAGTGTAAACAAAGCTGTCAGCACATTGAGAAGAACATAATAGCACTAATGACTATTTAAGACTGTGTCAGAGCCTTGTTACTTGGCTGGTCTGTAGCACCTCAGGGCCACTAACATCTCCAGTTTAAACAAACACTAGAGCAAAAGGCTTTGACTGCTGTTAAGAGGAAGAACATACAGTATTAAATGTGTGCAATAAGGACAAATCTAAAAGAGGCACGTGGCTCACAGATAACACACATACACACACTTCCTGGTGATGTCAGATGACAGCTGCTGGGGGGGGTTCCTGGTGATGATGGCATCACTTGCTCACTGGAGACAGCTGCAGATGGAGTCCCTCCTGCTGTAGCCTCATTCTAAGTTTGTGGGTCTCCTTTAATTGAATCCTTATTGGATCTGCTCACTGGCCTGTGATACATAGTAGTAGTAGGCAGATAATGTGTTAATGTGCCAATGTGCCATCCTTCCTCCATCTCCACGGGACCACCCTGCCAGGCTGTTCTGGTAAATGTATCAAGTCAAATGTTCACATGCAGTGACAGGCTACAGTGAACTCCATTTAACCATGAAATCTCAACCCCAGGACTGACAGAAAGTGGGCATTTACAGGAAATTTCTGTATTTACATGTTTTGACACAATGAGGAAATATGCTAGCAGCTAATAGCTTTGAGCACATTAGCAGCCAAACACAGAAACTTAAGAGTGCAGCCGAGTTAGCAGCACTGCGAGTCTGTCATACTCACCTTATATTGTTTCAACCATTCACATCCCGTAATTCTGAGTCGGACATTGGGATTTTATGATGGCAATGATATCTCACACTAGGTTTGAAAAGCTACAAACATATCAAACTTTTGGCTGCAAATACACCACAGCTGGAAGCTAATAAAATCTAAAGTTAACATAAATGACTCACCTCTGATGTGAGACAAGATTAGCACAAGTCCATTCCCAAAATGGAATTAGGGGTGTTCTTCTTGTTCTTTCCATTCTACTTTAAAGCTAAAGGCTAACATGCTCAATGTTTACATCTTAGTTTTGTCTGTTAGCAAGGTAACATCAGATAGTTAGCACTCCTCTGTTTTAACTGGGTGATGGCCAACTCCCTTTCTTATTTATTCTGATTACACATCACATAAACATCAATGGTTGATGGATTTGTCTTTTAAAAACATGCCACATGAAGATGTACTTAGATTCAAGATGTGAGGACAAAGAAGAAAAATGGGAGATGAAAAGAGCCGCTGCCTCGCCAGGAACATCAGGGGCTTCCTCCGCAGCTCGAACACCCACACACCAAAAGCTAAACGCAGTACTCTAACAACCTGGAGACGCTGACTCAAAGGACTCTTCATCAATAAAAAGGAACAGATACTCAAGAGAAAAGTAGCAAGGACACATTCAAAGCTGTGCATAAATGGTCTTAGACGATACGATTCTGAAATAGATGCTCATAAAATTTCTTATAAAAAAAAAAAAAATCCATTCAGGAAGAAAAAGGATTCAGACTTAAACCTTGGAGCAACACATTAGTTAAACTGTGGCCATTCTGTGCAAGGAAACCATTCATCAACCTCCATGTTAACAGGGTACAACATGCAAAGCCTGGCTGCGATGCTCAAAGATCCCTGAAACGTGGAGAAGTGGAGGCCTACGGAAACTCGTGATTCACCGTCCCTTCCCCACATACACCCACAAGCAATTGCCTGGTGATGCAGAGAGAGAGCGTTAACAAGGATAAAGCAATTTCACGGTCTGAATACAGACAGAAGGTATTGTCCTCCATGCGGACACACAGACAACAGCAGCACACTCTCTAACGCGCACACACACGACAGAAGACAGGGATGGACAGGAAGGAAGGACCACTCACTAGACTGAAGGATAAACATTCAAGTGGACCACAAACAAAGAGAATAAGCAAACGCAGGGAAAAGAACAGGTCAAAAATAGTTCCAACAAAATCAAAACAACAAGGTCAAGTGCGAACACTGTCACTAATTCTCCTCCCTCCTCCTTACACACACACACACACACACACACAATCACTAACTCTTTAGACGTCTGGCAAAGGGCAGTTTACACCACGACAAGCCAAACAACTCCACCCACCCACTAGAGAAACAATCCCATCTCATTTGCATCCTCTCCGTCAGCTCCGACCCTTCACCTCTCACACTCCTCGTTCTGTCCCAGTCACCCCATGAACAAACTGGAGGGAGTTGATATACAAAGTTTATCCGTAATTCCACAAACATATGACCCTCTGCTGCCTCCAGCCTCCTGTTGTTATTCCAGCTTCTCCACCCTGTGTTGTCAAAGTGCAGTCTGTATATTAGCCCCGAGTGCCGCTTAGCCAGGGTTAGAAGTTGCCAGTAGTCATGTCAAACAGCCATGGAGGAGCTCTGGGCAGCTAAAAGTCTGAACCAGCGGCTGCCAGAGTGAAGAGGTGGCGTCTTTAGCACAGAGAGAGTGGGACAAAGCAAGAGCAACAACCAGGGTTAACATGGGTTTGGCTGTTTGACATGGAGAGGGTTAAAAGCAGCCAGAGGACTCAGACTGGATTCAGATGTGGTGTTCTTCCTTCTGGATGTGTTAGCATGGATGGACTGTCATCTTAAAGTGGTCATGACGTGTTCATTTTGCTCATTTCTGGCCATTTAATGTTTAATCTCGAGTATCTCTAGATTATCTTGGCACAAAAAAAAAACCTTTATTGAAAATGCACATAACAAAACAGGGCATATAACATTTTGCCAATATGGTGGAGGCACCGGTGGATGTCATGCAATCTCACATGAACGCACAACTGCCTGGAGATTATGCCCATTCAAGGAAATCCTTAAACTATCACATAAGACTATTTTGATAGAAAAAAAAAAAAAAATCTCAGGAGGGACCGTATGCTAGATGTGTATAAACTGAGCTGCTTCCG